CGGCGTACTGTGGCTGCGGGGAAAAAAAAAATCAGGTTCACGGATATTGATCTGTCATTTCTCTAGATTCACAGAATTCACTCACTGCTGAAAGCGCCGGATTGGTTTTTATTAAGTGCCATTTTGTGTGCTCGTGAATCATCTTTTGAGTGTAGACGCCATGTAAATAAAAGATTAATTGTGTAATTTAGAGAGCTTTATAAATTATAACGGATCTTTGTGAGATCTCTATGAACTAAGATTAGTGACGCTTTTTAGTGATAATAAGAGGAGCGTGCTTTGCACTTTCCAGGCTATAATCCATTCAGAATTTGTATGAAACTTTTGTTTTCGGCACATATACGCTGATATGTTTTGGGAATGACATCTGCATATTTACGCTGGGTTTATTCTCGAAATAACGGTGAAGCAATAGACGGGACAAAAATATATATCCCCCTTCTCCTTAAACAACTTAGTGTTTCAGCTATGAAATAGTTCAGTTTTGTATGTAGCCTAATGGCAAAGTGTTTATATTTAGTTTCGTTTTTTATTCAGCTTATTTAGAAAAACGTTTGGAGCATTTTTTATTCGTTAAAAATACCATCATTGTCTGTTTGATCAGTTTGCTTTCTCAGATCATCACGACTTGCCTAAAATAAAAGATATAAAACAGTTCAAGTATAAAACAATGGTAGCTTAAACGTTAAAGAATGTGTGCTATTAGGCGCATAGTTTGCTTATAAAAAGCGTTCAGGACATCGAGGCGCCAGAGCAATCACTTGCATTTTTTCAGTGGGAGCAATTTAAAGTTATCCGTCATTTTTGCTCACAGAGTACGAGTAATAAATCAAAAACGTTACAGCGTTTTTATAAAATAAAGAAAACCTAAATTATGCGCTTTCTGTCGTCAGGTTTTTGTACAGGAGCGCTTAACAAAATGAAGCAAAATGTATATGCCTCACAGACATAATAAATATATTTATAGAAAGCTTTAAATTATTACTTAACGAAATAAAACAAATCGAAAGCAAAAAAAACTCCTTCATGTAATCCGTAAAGATGAATTTCTCTCTAAAGGCGAGTCCAAGAGGAGATTGCCAGTCAGGATCTTTGCGACACTGACTCAGAATAAGTTTATTAATAATTAATTAAAATATGTCCTTACTCTTTCCTCGACACATTCATTGTTATTTGTTTTTGCCGGTGATTGGGGCGAGTTTTAGCTTATTGTGTGCGCTTGAACGCGGATTCACAGTAGCAGTTTTGACATGGAGTGACACGACATCTGACGTACAGATGACACTGGCACATGCCACTGAGTGTAGTGACACTTCCGGTGGCACGTCCGGTTTTCCACTGTCATGTGTCACTCGCTAGTGGCATGTGTAGTGATCTGTGTCACTGTCGCGCTGCATGTCACCCGGCGAAGCTTATGACATTAATTAACATGAGCAAAACCATATTTAATCATTACGCGACTTTTAACCTAATTTATCGCGTCGCAAGTTAGTTTATATGCTGAGCTACTCCACGATGTTTTAATTTAAACGCATTTATTTTATGTATTCGTAGTCATACTTCCGTACGTAATATAGTCATTTGACAGTACATGTCAGTCAAAAGGCTCGTTTGACTTGGCCAAAATCTGCGCAGAATCGATCACCGGTGATCACCGCAAGATGCATGCCGGTTAGAAATGTGTCCGCCTTGCCTTCGCCTCGCTCTGATGTCACGCTGACGTGCGCCAAAAAACTCTCGCGATCGCGAGGCGGGTACCTCGGATAGAGCAGTCGGCCGCAGTTGCTCTCAAAAGACTGCGTTACCAAAAGCATGATGGGAAACGACTGGCTGACGACACAGCTTAATGCTGATTGGATGAGACTGACACATTACACTTTATTATCTTGTTTTACTAAGGTTTATACCTGGATTTGTTGAATACCTTTTTTGTATTTTCGTTGATAATTAAAAAAAAAGTCATAAAGAGCATTACATATGGTTATTTATTTAGATTTACACTCAAACAACAACAAAACACATCTTTGTAAAACATAACGTGACCTATCCAATATAAAATGTTATTAATAAATCATTAGGATGTGTGTGTGTGCTGTATTCTATTTCTCTCTCAGTCTTAAGTCTTGTTTGTTGTCATTTTCACTTTTTGTATGTTTGTGTGAATTTTGTATTGTAATTTTTATGCAGCATTATTCCATTAAAGTCAATCCAATATATACATATATTCAGACATACTAAGGTAATCAGACTGTTTTGTCATTATGCCTCATCTTTGTGTGATTTCATATGAGAAGTGAAAAGGGTGTAGTAAACAAGACACACACACACACACACACACACACACACACATATATATATATATATATATATATATATATATATATATATATATATATATATATATATATATATATATATATATATATATATATATATATATATATATATATATATATATATGTATATGTATGTGGAGTCAAAAGTCATGTTTAATAGACCAAGAACATTTCCACAGTTTTTCCTACAGTCTAATAGTTTTTATTCTGGAGAAAGTCTTGGGCTATTTATTTTAGTCTGGCTGGAGTAAAAGCAGTTTATATAGACCTAATAAGCATGTCAATATTATTAACCCTCTAAGAATTTATTTGTCAAACAAACATTTGTCATGACCCGTCACTCAAAAGCATCTTGCTATGGCTACTTCATTTATAATGTAGCCAAATTAGGTTTCTTGAAAGCTTTCTTGCTGTATAAGCTGTTTATTTTTTTATTCTTTTAACGTTTGTTGAATATACAGAATTATATTTTTAATACACCCTTTTAGTTAATGAGCTGTTCATCTTCTGTAATTCTGACCATCTCTCTAAAAACAGTGATATTTCTATTGCATCCACTCCCACATTAAAAAATACTATAGTAATGTATACTGTAGTGCTTTTGAACCATGTTATAAAATAGCCTATTTAAATTTTATAGCTCTGGTATCACAACAACTATAAACACAACCCAATACTGAATAAACATGTTCAAAAATGCAATAATATTTACTATAAATCACCATAGTATTTTTTCATGAGGTCATTCGTCTGCGATTAAAAACGCGAACGAGATCTCCGCCACTGGTGACGTTTCCAGGTGGCTAAACAGCGAGATTCGGCAGGTGTCCGACTTCTGATGTAATTTTTGAGCCCTCCTCTTATTGCGCACGCCTGCTCTCGTTTACAATGCAGTCAAGGCGAGGCGCACCTCAAACGAGCCTAAATTTATTGTGGCATGCTTATGTATGGGAGGGGTTACACTTATCTGTTGTACTGTATATTATTGCATCCTGGCAGTTCCTTTGTTCCCTACAATACGGACTTCTCTATGTTTTTAATTCATTCGTTTATTTTATTATTTAATTTATTTTCATTTTAAGGTATTTTAAATAATATCCTTTAAAAAGTTATAATAAAATGCATGTTGAAAACTCATAACATATATGCATGTAAGATAACAGGTGTCATTTGCCTAATGATTTTTAAATATTAAAGCAAAGAGACTTATAAGATTAATGTGCTTATAACGTGCTTATACTGACACCTACTGGCACATGTCACAAGATCACTGACACTGGCATTTGTCACTGACATTACTGGCATGTGTCTAAAAAGAGCCACTTGACAATAATGATGATCAGGGTTACACATAGGCTGTTAATATATTTGGGCCCAGGGGCCCACAAGTTATGTGTTAAAAGTGCGTTGCATACATAGTACCCCCACCCCTACTCACCTCAGGGGCAACGAAAAAAAGTTCAGGCTCAGGAATTTTTTCCACTATCAGCCCTGTATATTGTGTCACAGCAGCTTAACATAGAAGTTCTAGATTGAAACTGTCAGTCCAGAGTTAAAGTTCAGTTTAGTGTGGTTTAATTTTTACTGCTAAAAGTCCAAACACTGAAAAGCAAATCCATTGATGCGCAGCTTCACAAGTCCCAAACCAAGTAAGCCAGTAACGAGGAACAAACTTTACCAATTGACGAAAGTGAAGGAAAGTAAACCTTGAGAGATACCAGGCTCAGTTGAGCGCTACCACTTCTTATCAATATTAAAACTAGACTAATATGTAGATAACTTTCTTCAGGATTCTTTGATGAACAAAGTTTAAAAGAACAGAATTTACTTTACATAGATTTATATTGAACATTATATGTCTTTTCTGTCAGAGTATAATTAATGTATCTTGCATTTATTTATTTACAAAAGACAAATTGTACTGACCACAAAACTTTTAACAAAAAAATTGGCGGGTTTGGGTCTAATAAAAGTCCTAGTATAGATGGTTTGATCTCATAAGTTAGAATTGCTTTTCCTGAATAGAAAAAAAGGGGATAAGGAATATAACAATGTTATTAAATACAAATATGACCATGCGGCCACTTAAAAAAGTACTATGTAAAACAATAGATCATACCACAGTATTAAAGTTGAATTTCAGGTTGTGTTGTGATCAAACTGCTGTATTATTTCATAGTTTGTTCAACCACCGTGACCAGCACCACCATTGCCAGCCCGGGTTAAGTGGAATTTCTGATCATTTTGTGGGAAAAATGGGAATTTTTTAATGGATAATGTAAACCAGACTCTGTAGCTGACTTAAAGGGATAGTTCTCCCAAAAATGAAAACTCTGTCATCATTTACTCACCCTTCTTTTGGTTCAAACTTGGTTTACTTTCTTTTGTAAATCACAAAAAAATATTTTTGAGAAAGCTGGAAACCCATAACCAATTGGCTTCCATAGTATTTGTTTGTTCTATCATTATAGTTAGGTTTTTAGTTTTCTTTAAAGTATCTTTAGTGTTTTTCATTTATTTTCCTTCAGCTTAGTCCCATCAGTGGTCGCCTCAGCGGAATGAACCACCAACTTTTCCAGCATATGTTTTACACAGCAGATCCCCTTCCAGCTGCAACCCATCACTGGGAAACATCCATACATACACACTGGATGTTCAAGGCAGCTCCTGAAGGAAACCAACGCCAACACGGGGTCCTCAGTGTTCAACGGATTAAGGAAAAAAGTTTATATAACGACTTGTTTGTAAGTACATTTACATTTTGGAGTAAACTATCCCAATAAAACTATCAAATAAGTCAGCTAAGTTAGTTTAGCTACAACCAAAACCATCAACAAACCATCGTAAACTATTTTTGTACGGCAATGTTATTGAGATAATAAACATGTGTTCCCTCAGTCAGAGAAACGCCGTTGTTACACGACTTGTAGACGGTAAACTGACCTACTTTAAACGTGACTAATAGGAAATTTGTCCTAAATAGCAACCATAAGCTGTTTTTTAAACGAGGACACCATATTTCACCAGTGTGACAGGCGATAAAACACAGTCAGTATGCTGTTAAACGGCTTCACACTGAACTATGACTCAGTATAAGCGGTTTTATGCAGAGATTCGTTCCTACAGCCTCCACGCCCACTAACAAACCAAAGAAACTGGCGACACTTGTATTGGTCCTCAAAGAAGTTAAAAAGGAAATAAAATGCGTGAAAACATCAGCTCGCGGTTTGTTTTGGACGTTATGAAGCTGGAGTCGTTCGTGAACCGTCCTCCATCCGGATTTATCGTGGAGCGGCGCCCGGGCTGCAGACTCCTGAAGTGGGATCCGGAGAAAAGCTGCGTCTTCATCGATGACATCCATTCTAGAGAGGGAAAAGTGATTTTCTACAATTCCCCAGGAAGGTAAATGTGGTTTATTAATCCAATTTATCATATTTCACTGGTATGTTTACATGTAGCGTGTTTTTTTTAAGTCGTATGGGCATTACAGGAAAATCACAGTACGTACTTTGGGTACACGGATTTAAGACGACAACTGACCTTAAAGACGATTTACATACTAGTGTCTGCTTATGACAACACTAAAGGCCAAGAGAAGAGCAATGGGGATGTTCTAGGTAGGATTTTTGTTCATATTTGTTAAAATTTGTTGTTAATATTTAATATTTAATTCTTAATACTCAAGTTTTGTTTTACACAAGACTACAAACATTTGACATTGTTGATATAACCAAGGACCACAAAACCATTCATAACGTCAATTTTATTTTTAATTTATAATAAGTTTTCTAATGTTGTAATGTTTGTTTACAACATTGAGATGCAGCTATATCAACATCTAGCATCAAAAAAGTAAAAAATTAAAAAAAAAAAAAAAAAACTAAATCCTTTAAAGTTGTTCAGATTAAGGACAGATTACTAATATCTTAACAATGCTTATTAGTATTCAATAATTGTGAAATTTACAGTAGGAAGCTGTAAATGGAACTCAATCTTAATTTGTTTTATGGCATAAAAGAAAAATCCATAATTTTGTTGCAATATACAATATATAATAATACAATATGATGTATTTTTGGCTATTTTTACAAATATAACCACATATTTTAGACTGGTTTTGTGGTCCAGATATCTACATATATTCAGCACAGACTAGACATGCTTTTGTTTGCATTTAATAAAAGTATTATATGCATATGCAGAAAGCATATTAAATGCAAGAGACTTTATATTACATATTACTGTAGTGAAAATTAAATGTAGAAAGTGGAAATGATGTTCCATTGCCATTCACAACAGATCTATTTATGTAAAAATGAAACAACATGTGCATTCTTACCTGTACTTACTAAAATATTTAAAATGATTAATAAAGTTTGCATGATAAAATGTTTTTGGTACAATTTGTACATAGAGTTATATTTTATTAGGTATCTTTGCAATAAAATCATTGTAAAAATGTGTAATGGTGATTATTTGTTTCTCCAAAGAAATAAACAGTACTCTTTCTATTGTATGAAAAATTATTAAATATTTTTTATTTAGTTATTAATATTTTATGTTTATTCATAAATATTGGTTATTATTTAGTAAATTAAATAATTTCTTTTTATTTAAATTTAAATAAACGGAATAAAAAAGACAAAAATAATTTTCATTTTCAAGTAGTTTAAATTATATTTATTTATTTATTTATTTATTTATTTAATTATATTAACTTAAATTATATAACTAACTTCAAAAATATATATTTTAGTACTTTTTTATTCTGTTTATTTTATTTATTTTATTCAAGATAATATTTTATGATGATTTATATGTATATAATTATCTATTTTTACATATTGTTTAACATGGACTTAAAACTTATTTTTATGGTCTTGGTGAGATCAACAAGTACTAATTTACTCAAATGACTCAGCCAGGAAATACTGTAAAGCTATATGTCATGTCAACACGGGAGGAATTATTAAACTTTGACACAGTCACATACTGCATTTGTTAACAACACACCCTTAATAATTGTCCAAAGCTGCTGAATATTACGTGTTGGCGATAAACAGCAGTCATCCAATGATCAGATGGGAGATGGAGAGAGGCTTGGACAAGACCATTTCATCCGTCGCTGGAGAGAGCTATACAGTTGACGTGAGTGAAGACTTGTTTTCCTGTGATTTACAACATACACATGAAGATAGAATTATTAATTCACCTCTTTGTTTTTCAAATATTTCCCACATGATGTTTAAAGGAGCAAGAAAATTTTAACAGTATTTTCTATTATATTTTTTCTTATTTGTTTTATTTTGGCTACAATAAAAGCAAAATCAGCTTTTAATTTATTTTAAAACCGGTTTTAAGGCCGATATTATTAGCTCCCTTAAGCAATATTTTTAATGATTGTCTACAGAACAAAGCACTGTTATACAATGACTTGCCTAATTACCCTACCTTGCCTAATTAACCTAGTTTAGCCTTTAAATGTACACCTGAATACTAATATTTTGCAAACATCAACATTAAGGTTGATGTTAGTGCAGCGCTGCAGGGATGGATGAGGGAGAACTCTCAAGCTCTTGCTGATCTGAAAAAGGTGGAACGAACCTGGAAAGACACACACTTCACCATCAAGTACCGCTCTGATGCCCTTTTTGACTTTCCCTACTGGTTTGGCTTCAGCAAACGACAGTTCAAGGTGTGTTTTAATCCTTTAGCGGCACTGTTTAAACATCTATTAATTAACAGTTGCCGTATGTTGTGGTTCACATGGTGTTTTATGTTTATTTACAATTGTAATTTGCATCATGGTAGTTTTATCACATCTCTGGCGACTTTTGATGTTGAAAATTGAAGTGGCTTTTATTGGCATTTTAGTAGTTTGAGACTAGGCATGGGACGTTAACCGTGTTTAAGGTATACAGCGGTTTGGAAAAGTCAAGGTTTTAAAACCGTCAAAATGTTCTGCTATACGGTTCCTAAGGTAGGAGTAAGATTTTTTCATTACGTTTTTTTTGTTTTTGTTTTTAGGACAACAGTACCAGCAGAAAAATATTTTAAAAGTCTCCCAAATTAAAATATTTTATGTAAAAACGGGAAAAGGTTTTGTTTTTTACCCAGACATTTAAAAAGCATATATTAGAGCAGTAATCACAATAGGGTATATGCAGAAGTATGCTAAAAGACTTTTAATTTGACAGTAACCTCGGTTAAGCATTTCCAGTGAACGGTATACCACTGCAAAATCGGCGCGTTTAAGGTCTGTTTTCTTTAAAAATCAGCGATCTCCACTGGCTAAGGGATATCCGATATAAAGCGGGTCTCGGATTGTACAAGAAGCACTGCATTAAATTACTTTTCCCTGCCATGTCTTAAAAACATGAACATTTATTTTACTCCAGTGTATTCAATGGAGCCTCTGCACTAGCCTGCCGATTCTGACAGGCCCCTTCGAGTAAATGGCTTTTTGTCTGGTTTTATGCTTGAGCAACTAAATCAGGGGTGGGTAAACTCGGTCCTGGAGGGCCAGTGCCCTGCACAGTTTAGCTCCAACTCTAATCAAACACACCTGCTTGTAGATTTCAAGGCTATCATAGGGTCAGAATTTTATACCGGCCCATGCCCATTTGAGACAAGACATTATTGAAGAAGTAGTATAGAGAGAATTAAGTTTATTTACTGGCAGTTTGTTACCAGGTTCTTGTACCATAATTGACAACACAAACACAGACAATATATAACTTCACAATATTAAAAATGTCAACATGGGTCACTTTTCAAACTTTTCAACATCAAAAGCTATTAGAGGAAAGATCAAGATCTCATAAAGCAATTCAAAAGCATAATTAAGTGAAAAAATAATAAATGAATAAATAAAAAAACATGAATCAGTAAATATGGAAACTGCTAATTTACAAATATTTCTTACAATGATGTCTGTTTGATGGTTTAAAGTATTGAGAATATAACTGGAAATCCAATTTTGCAGGTCTCCTACCATGGAAGGTGATATCAACACAATTTAAGACAGAAAATGTTGACTTAAAGGATTAGTTCACCCCAAAATTTACTCACCCTTAAGCCATTCTCTGGGTATATGACTTTCTTCTTTCAGACAAACACAGTTGGAGAAGTTTTACATTTTATTCATTTTTTTTTCCATGCTGTATAATGATGTTGGCTGGTGGCTCTTTTTAAAGCCTTTTAAAAGCATACAAAAGCATTACTTCACATTACAATTATACAAAGACATGTGTGCCAAGCCCCCGATGGCACATTCACTGCTTACTAATAAAGTAACAGTGCCAAAAACTGGCCTGGCAAGCATAATACAAGGAAATCGTTTTGAAAACACTGTCAAGTAGATGGCGTATGGGTTAGTTTTACGATGCATTTATTCGGCTGGAGGAGTGCACAATTTTTTTTGAGACTCGAGCGAACAGTGCATGCGGCGCCGCATTTGATTTGAGTTGAATATGAAACACTCTGAAGAGATTTTGTCTGAAACAGTACCACTGTACAGACATCTTTATGATCAGTGATCATAGAGTAATCAGATGACCAATAATTCTTGACTAGAAATTGCAACAGCCGTGGGAAAGGAGGACAGATTTTGTAAAATTTTGGAAAAACCTGAGGGATACGTTTGATAAAGTAAAAAGAGGCCATGGCAAAAGTGGAGACTCGAGTACACAATTACAGAAATATGTTTTTCCACTATCCACAGGTGATGTAAGTATTAAAATTGTGAATTTAAAACAGTTTAATAGTTACAAGACTATAATTAAGGAACAAATTATTTCTTTGATAACTGGAAAATAATATTTGAACCTATCGGTTTACAATATACTGGTGCCCTGTTTTTCTGGGCTTTATTGGTGATAATGATCAGGAATGTTGGACCATTATTGCCTTTTTAGCACATCAGTAGAGGACAAAAACTAGCTAGACAGTAATGTGTGAATTGTGGATCGGGCTAAATCTAAAAAACATCTGTTTTAAGTAAAAAAAATTTTTTTTCGCTTTTATTCTTGCCATAATAAAAATATATTTGTAGAGCAACTCATGTTCTGTTGTCATTTATATTTTAATAAACTTTAATAGGTAGAACTGTCCGAGATATTCATTCATTCATTTTCTTGTCGGCTTAGTCCCTTTAATAATCCGGGGTTGCCACAGCGGAATGAACCGCCAACTTATCCAGTAAGTTTTTACACAGCGGATGCCTTTCCAGCCGCAACCCATCTTTGGGAAACATCTAAACACACATTCACACACACACTCATACTCATACACTACGGAAAATTTAGCCTTCCCAATTCACCTGTACCGCATGTCTTTGGACTGTGGGGGAAATCGGAGTACCCGGAGGAAACCCACGCAAACGCAGGGAGAACATGCAAACTCCACACAGAAACGTCAACTGAGCCTAGGTTGGAAACAGCGACCTTCTTGCTGTGAGGCGACAGCACTACCCACTGTGCCACTGCCTCGCCTACTGTCTGAGATATGAACAAAAGCAAATGATGCGCCAAAGTTTGATTTTAAAAAAATCTTGACCGGTTGTATTAGTTTAATAATATTGAAAGATATTTATGATATGACGTAGTTCCGGAAACTTTCAACGTCTCTGTTTATCCGTCTGACTTTTCGATCAGTTTCTTTTGACCGCCCTGTGTGTTTAAAGAAAATCACAACGGCGAACGTGTCAAGTGAGGTGCCAGTGCAGTCAGCGGAGGTGCGCGATGTGGCGCCAGGCGAAAATATAAATCCATCTTTACCCATCACCATTACACAGCATGGTAGAGCCAGGATACGGTTTAACTGAAAGAAGAAAGTCATACACTGATGGCTTGAGGGTGATTATATTATACATTTTTGAGAGAACTATTACTTTAATCCAGGAATCGAAGTACACAGATGAGGAGACTACGAAAGCTAAGAAACTGTAGTTTATTAAAGCACCTTAAAGGACCATTTTACTGTAAATAAAACTTTATTTTCTCACGTTAGCAATAATAAAAAACAATCATAAAAAAATCATAGGAATTATAATTATGTTGAAGTCATAAATTGTATATAAATGAAAATAATTACAATACTTTTTTAAAAATTGGTCACTGTATGTGTCTGAATGTGTTCCTTTCCTTGCTTTAAATGTCTCATGTCATAAGGAAATCAAATTTTTCTTTATATTTTACAGCAAAGTGAAAACCTTTCTCACGTCACAGATTAAAACATCACATTTTCCTCTGACCTGTGCTGTGTGTAGCATCATCTACTCCGCACTTCCAGAGTGTCATTAAAAACGTGTATTTTTAACAAGGTTTCAGTCTGATCTTGACATTTCTTCACTGAATATTTTGCAATCCTGTTATGTAATCCAGACTGTGCAAAGAGGCTGTTGATATATGCGCTAAATTTCTACACAACAGGAAACCGGCAATCCGGTGCATATGCAGAACTTGGAACTTTTTTTAATGGCACGATATTACAAACAGACTATTTTAAGAGCGGTTAACACAACAGTATTCATTTAAATACAGAGAACTTGTGTCTTGCTTGTTTGTTTATACACAGAAACAGGCTTAAACTCTAAATCCTTACTATTTTGGCCACAACTGAAACTTCACTGATTGATATGAGCCCTTTAAAACATATTTAAATACATTACGCTGGGATTTAACAGCTGTTTTATGTCTTCCTGTGTTAATTTGTAATATGTACAAACCATTTTTGCAATTAAATGTTATTTTTAATCATGTAAACGCTTCACACTGTCTTTTTTTCTTCTACCTTTTTTGTTATATCCTCAAACTGATAAAGCTTTAACTGAAAGAGATCCTCCTCTACACTGAGATGTTGGCCCAGATTAGGGCAGGAGCAGAAGGGTGGACGCTGCTTTAGTGATGGTCTGGATGTATTCTTTATAGTCGCTGCCACCATACGTGAGCATCAGGTGATTTATAATTCCCACAACACACATGAGTGACAGGAAGAATAGAATCCGTTTCCCAAACAGGAAGCCAGGGGTACTGTCAAGCATACAAGAGATTCAGTCAGCAAATCTGCTATATGGCTTGGTGACAGTACTGATAAATATACATGTTGGTATAACACAATATAAAGGGTTAAAACTGTTCTATTGCAGAGATTATTAGAGCTAAGTGCTTCAAAGATTAATATTTCTATACAGAAATACTTTAAGTAGGGATGATGCACTGATATTGGTCAATTGCATACAGGACTCGCTAGTTTATTTTTGTTAAATTAATTGGACAGAATAAGGATTGAATCCATTTGACATTAAACTGTCCAACGTTTTAAAAGAGGCACAAGTTAACATAAAATACGACATGTAACAATATTTATTCAAATTTTTATTCAAACATCTTACCTTTGGCAAGTCTCCCCCAAGTAGCCAACAAAATACTTCTGGCGGACAACAAGGTAGAGAATACCAGCAAAGGCAGCTGGAGCTGCAGCAGAAATGATTTATTGTTGTTAGAAATTACATTTAAAAAGTACATATTTGAGTTATATTAACGTAATTTCACAATTGTACAAGGTTATTTTTGACTCACGTTCGCACGTCACAGTCATTAAACGTTAACTCGTTTGGACAGATGGTAACGTTAGGCTTATGCGTAAACAAATATTTGCAAATGGATTATCGTAACATTAACTGAGCAAAGCAAGCCATATCACAAAGGGGTGTATTCTCTCTTCCTAGACAATATTGTAATTAACATAGGCGAGAAATAAAATATTTATAAAATTTAAAAAAAGTTTGTTCAGTACTTTTTGTGATGAAAGTGTTGTCATCTATAAGGTAATATTACCTTGACTGAGGCAGATACCAGCGCACCACAGCACTGCCAGAAATGTAGGGTACGTATCCATGCAGTTTCGCCTTAAATTGTGAGAAAACAGTAATAAAGTGTTATGAAGCACTATTATTTATTAACAGTCATAACTTTCTAATATAAAGCTTCAGGAACAAACTCAATCAGCTCATTCACACAACTCTTATGTTACCAAACAGGTCAAGCTTATTCCTTTGGAAATAAAACTGTGAAACATACATAGCTGTTACTTCCTCTGTGGTGTGGTTAATGACACTATGAAGACGATCTAAACTAAGACACTTGCAAACTGATATGAAAGTTTAGATATATGCACCTGATAACAAGTACTGTAAATTTGCTTTACTCGCCATATTTACAAATAAATAAATGAAGAAAAAACACAGCAAAAATATTCAATATTACATAATCAATTTACCATGCAGTAAAGAAGATAATTGCAAGTAAACACATTTTGACTGGAGGGATTTTTCTGTTTTCCCTCTGTCCACATTCATAGGTTACACTTAATCAGCCAGTTTACTTTAAAGTAGGGCTGCACAATAATTAAAAAAATCTGACATTGCAATATTTTGTTTTTCTGCGATATATATTGCGATCTAGGTGTCTATACAATTCCAGCAAATGACTGAATATCCCTATTTGAAAAGCAATTTGGTTACACTTTATTTTAAGCATCAATTTTTACTCTTTATGACTTTTGCTTCAATTAAGCAATCCTTATTAGGGTAGTTTAGGTATTGGGTAGGATTAGATCTAATATGTGCTTTATAAGTACTAATAAACAGCCAATAGGTCAATAACCTAGCATCTAAGTAATAGTGAGAATTGGTTCTTAAAGTGTTACCAAATGTATTAATTTGATTGGGATGGAGTGAATCAATTATAACAAACATATTACTAGCATGAATAAATGAACTGAAGCAACAATAAAGGAGAAATAAACAGTGCATTCTTTATTATTTTGTGTATGTAAATGTAAAAAATACACTGCAGTGTCAACTGAGCATTGCAGATCTGTGCGATGTGACTATTGCAGATGCACACATTGTGATGTAAATGCTGAAATGTTATATTGTGTAACCCTACTTTGAAGTAAAAAACTTCCAAAAAAAAAACATAAAGTTGTAATTGTAGAGATAGGCTTTCACTTTTTTTCAGACCAGTGGAACCCTCTTGCAACACATGATTATGTAAATAAAGCAGAAGTTAGTTTCCCTAATCGCAGGAAAATTTAGAGCTGTTATGCAAAAGACCCTAAACTAGTACTGTTTCATTAGCTAATACTTTGTTTAAAAAAATACATGTACAGTGCTCAGCGTAATTGAGTTCACCCCTTTTTGAAAATGAATATTTTTATCCATTTCTCAGTGAATATAGGCAATGCATTTCGATGCATTTGAACAAAACAGATTTATTAACAGATATATTTATTACAATTATATTTTATTCACCAAACATATTTAGAAATTGAAATATAATACAATTAAATTCAAGCAAAATATTGCAAAAAAATATATAAATTACAAAATTTCAACTAAATATATATATATATATATATATATTTTTTTTTTGCTTTTCTTGATTTGTCCTCGTTTTCAAATTTCATTCATTCATTCATTCATTCATTTTCTTTTCAGCTTAGTCCCTTTATCAATCTGGGGTCGCCACAGAGAAACAAACCGCCAACTGATCCAGCACATGTTTTACGCAGCGGATGCCCTTTTAGCTACAACCCATCACTGGGAAACACCCATACACTTACATTCACACACACACATACACTACAGACAATTCAGCTTACCCAATTCACCGATAGCATGTCTTTGGACTTGTGGGGGAAACTTAAGCACCCGGAGGAAACCCACGTGAACACAGGGAGAACATGCAAACTCCACACAGAAATGCCAACTGGCTTAGGTCAAGGCTCGAACCAGCGACCTTCTTGCTGTGAGGTGAGAGCGCTACCCACTGCGCTGCCCTCTTTTTTTTAATTTGTATTTAATGTTTTTCTATAACATAAATCTAGGTGTACTAGTTTTTGGACCGTTATTAAAAATTATTTTATTAGATAACCTCCATGATTGGCTTCAGTACTGACTAATCTAATGTATTTGCACAAATATAATATTGCTTAGCTTCCTATTAAAAATATTAACTTAAAAGATTTTTGAGGGGTGTACTTATATATGCTAAACACTATATATATATATATATATATATATATATATATATATATATATATATATATATATATATATATATATATATGTGTGTGTGTGTGTGTGTCTGTGCTTAAATATATTATCTCAATGTATAATTTGATGAACCAGAATTAGCATTACTCACTTTGCACAGGACAAGCGCTCGAAAGCTGCAGAACGTTTCGATTGATGACCTGTGCACTCTTTCTCAACCTTTAGGGCAAAAAACACTAGAGGAGAAAAATATTAGAAATATATATTAGATAGTGTATTAGAAATCCATGTTTAACCCATATTCAGTTGAGGGTAACATTTTTAGCCATTTTCTAAAAATCATTTCTTCTGAAGAAAGTCTTTATTCTTTTAGTTAGGCTGGAAATAAAAGCAGTTTAACATTTCATTAAAATAAAACGTTTTTAAGGTCCATGTTATTATCTTCTTTGATATATTTTTCCAATTGAATTCAATAGAACAGAATGCCTTTTATTGTCACCTCTACACTTATACAATGTACATTATGTACATGTGCAATGAGATTAGGCACATCTCACTACTCGGTCCAAACATGTCAACATATCCTTTCCACACAGATCACACTAAAAAACAAGTTACAGTAGAATTAACTGTAGACAATAAAACTGGCTTTGGAACAAACCACAGTTTCTTACGACTTGCCTAATTAACCGAACTTTAACTTTATTAACCTAGTTAAGCTTTTAAATTGCAAGCCGAATTCTACTATCTTTCATAATAACTAGTAAATAGTATTATTTACTACCATCATAACAAAGACAAACAAAATTGGTTACTAGAAATTATTTATTGAAACTATCATGTTTAAAAATGCATTGAAAAAGTCATTTCTCTGTTAAACATTTTAAAAGGAGTTAAAAGTTCACAGGAGGGTTAATAATTTAGTTTACAACCATATAAAAGCATTACAAACTACTCCTAGATATATGAACGCATGCATAATCTATTCAAAGATAATTTGCATATACATTCTGCGTAAACATCAGCTAACGACAAAATAACAAAACAAAATGTCTTACCATTCTGAACAACGCTGAGTAGAGTGACCAGCACCAGTAAGAAAATGTTGTCCATCACTGAGGCGTACATGTTGTCGAGTGTAAAGGTTTAGGTTAGTTTTAGAGCTGTTGGTGTGTAACTGCAGCCTGATGGTGTTCAGTATTAGAGAGATAACATCACTACTGTGCTTCACAGTGATGTATTTCCTGGAGGGAGGGAAATGAGGGGCATTTACTCACACTTCTGCTTTATTTAGCACATTTCAAGGAATTATTGGCAGTACAGCGGCATCTTCTGTTTACAGCTGATTTTTAGGTCTTTTTTTGTATTTTAAGTTAAAACTGGCCATCTCCTGGCCTAAACTGGTTTGCTGGTCTGGTGTCAGATTCTGGTTTAAAGTGATAGTTCAGCAATGGATGAAAATAAGTTTGTAAAGTAACATTTTCTCTGTCTTTTAGTGGATGTCTTTAATGTGAGAACTCCTGTAGCTTTGTTTACCAAACAAGTGGTTCTAATTGGTTTTGCATTTTAAACCTTTAATGTAAGTTAAGAAGTTATTGTATATTAAAGGGCACCTATTTTACCCTTTTTACAAGATGTAAGATAAGCCTTTAGTCTCTAGAATGTGTCTCAAGTTTTAGCTCAAAATACCCATCAGATTATTTATTATAGCCTCCAGAATTTACTCATTTTGGTGTCTGAGTAAAGTGTAGCTGTGCTTTAAATGCAAATGAGCTTGTTATCTCCGCCCATCATTCCAACATGTGTCTACTTCTCATCATGCATTGTGTCAGATAAACAGCAGTCAGTGATAGGGACAGACTCGGAAGAAGCTGAAATACAGCTCATTAGTCAAAAATAGCCAGTAAGTTTATTTGAAGTATTTGCGGTGGTTTATTCAAGCCTTTATAAAATGAAGAGTCATGCAAATGCTGTTCGCAGTACACACACACACACACACACACACACAGATTAGCTTTAACTGACACCATGCAGCCAAATTTTATTCTTAATTTAGTTATAAAGAATTACTAGCGATTTTACTGTCTTTATTACAAGCATGCTCTGATTTAAAAATGTTTTAAACTTATAAACATCACAGAGAGTTGGAACGAATATTTTTAATCCCAGTTTATTTGCAAACAAATGTTCTGTGGACATGTGAATACAGTGCCCAGCATATACAAGTACACCCCTCACACATCTGTCTTTTGAATTCATATTTTAAAAAGGAAGCTGTATAATATTATATTTGTGCAAATACATTAGATTAGTCAGTACTGAAGCCAAATCTGGAGCTTATCTAACAAAATAACTTACGATAACGGTCCAAAAACTAGTACACCCAAATTTATATCCTATAGAAAAATAATAAATACAAAATTTAAAATAGAAAAAAAACAAGGAAAAAAAAGGTTGCAATTTTGTGGGTTGTAATTTAAAAAATATATATTTTGCTTGAATTTAATTGTATTATCTTTCAATTTCTAAATATATTTGGTGACTAAAATATTATTCCAATAAATATATCTTATAATAAATCTGTTTTTGTTCAAATGCACCAAAATACATTGCCCATATTCACTGAGAAATGGATAAATTCATTTTCAAAATGGGCTGTACTCAATTCTATTGAGCACTGTACATGTTATTATAGAAACATGGCGCTTGTCAATCAATTGGATGAGCGGCACGTGGCAGTGGGCCTCAAAATCACAGGCATTTGGATCCTATTTTAATGTCAGGGAAAAAAAAAAAAAAGAGAGATTTGTTTTTATAACTCCATTATGACAGTGGACACTATACAGTTCTGTCCAAACAGCTTACAAAAGTTGATTTTCATCATAGGTGCTCCTTTAAGTTTTTTTAGCATAAATTTGCAGTTTTTTTATGAATGTTTTTATAAGCAATCAAATTTGTTAATGTTTTGTGCGATTTCTTACCAAATCAGTGACATCAATTATGGATTTGGCAATTGAAGAGTTAAATCCTGTAATTTTCTAAGCAATTTAGTAGTTTTGATCAGGACTGAGCTTCATTAACAGATTAATGCAAAACATTTTGAAAAAGATATTAATCTGATGCATTTTACAGCAGTTTATTTCAGTGGATGTTTCTATCCCAAACATAAAAAAGGGTAGTAAATTTAAACTGTGTATCATTGAATGTTTTTAAAAAAATTCAAAGCAGTTTCTCAAAATAGGTGTTAAAATAGGATGTCACCAAAAATAATTATATTTGCTAAAACAGAAAAAGTTATGGCCAAATTAAGACACAAAATCACCCCAGAGTGGATGGAAGTATCCTCAACAGTACATGAGGATTAATCAACACAATCCCACAGGAATTCATAACTTTTTGATTTAGTGGCTAATTAGTTTAAATTTGTACGATTTAATTTGTACAATTTAATACGATTTGCTCATCATCCAATGGTGGTTGGGGTTAGGGGTGGGGTTGGGTGCCACGCCTCCTTTTTAAATCATACATTTTCGTACGACTTAACTCGTACGAATTCGCACAAATTAGCCACTAAATTGTCAAAACGTAAAATACTTACGTTTCCTCCTGAGATCAGGCTGGATTAATAGTGTAGCAAAGAATTCCCTTCATTGGACACGGAAGCAAACTGTTATACATTGTAAAGATGCTTCTTATGATCCGAATCCACCTGAATTTAATTAAAACTAATTACAGAAACGACCAATATATATTTACAGTGAGACAACGTTTACAGTTTTCTGGAACAATTTAATATGAACAGTTTAAATACGGTGAAATCCATAAAAAATAACAACGCAAAAGCATTAGACAACTCTGTACAAAACTTTACAAGTACATTGTGCTTACTTTGATCGTCAAACATGGCGTAATGTTCTTCAAGTAGATCAGGCAAAACATGAACAACTAACAGATGATGTGCCGCATACTTTGCTAACAAAGGTCTTCCTGTTTTCACCAATGCAAAACTAAATCGATCTTAACACCAGGCAAAACTCAATGACTCTGAACATCTAAAAGTTTTCTTCAAATCAGAAAAATATATCCAAGCTATTAAAATCAGCGTTCTCGAGTGCAGTGTGGCACATCCCTGACTGCATGTATTCATCTAAAGGCGATATGGTGGAAGAAGAGCAGGTTAGGGTTGCTTCAGGAGCAAGAGTTGCTACAGCAGGATTTTGCTGTTCGCCGTTTTGGCCATTGTTCAACATCTCGAGGAGACCCGTACTGTCAGGCGAGAGGTTACTGACGGTCGTCGCAGGAGATAGAAGATCAGCCAAAAACTGGTCATCAAAGCTGTCGTATGTTGTGGTACTAGAAGTGACTGAATACGGTGATGAAAGTGCAGTGCTGTCCGGTTTGGCCACAGATTCCCCTCCATTTCCCAGGAGCTGGTTTAACTTGGCCAGTTTCTTTTTCTTGGCCTTCAGCTTTTTCATTAGCTTCAGCCTGAGGGCTTCTGTAGTGCTAATGGGCTCCTGCCCTGCCGTTTTCTTAACACTTGGATTAAGGCCACCCGGAAGGCTGATTTGTTTGGGTTGAGAATTTGCCAATTTCTTTGTCTTGAAGCCGCCAAACATGTCAGCCGGCTTCACAGGCAGATCTTCATGTTTGTCATATTGCAGACTGGGTTTTGGTTTTGGAGCAGGAGGAAGAGGAGGAGGAGGTCTGATTGGTGTAGACTGGAAGGAAGGATGACGCTGAAATAATGATGTAGGCTGTAAATGTGTTTTTGATACGGCTGCTGCTGCCACCTCTGGTTTGTGTACTAAGCTAGATTTCTGAGGAATTGGAGGGGTTGAAAGTCGACTCCCGGTTTTGGGGATTCCAGACAACAAATTGGATGCTTCAAAAGGACAGTGACGAGGAGCCGACACGAAGCCTGGTCTCATGGGACGCGGTTCATTCTTGGGGGATTCAGAATTAACCAGAGTGAGGGTTACGATGTCTTTATGGGTCAGACCTTCAAATGTGTCCAGTAGTGTGGTGCTGCCTATGGATGTATCCGCAATGCTGCTTGCAGTCGTGTCTTCCACTGTGAGTGCGCTGATCACGCATGTGTCGGTGGCCACAGAGTCTGACAGTTTTGGAGGATGTTCATCAGGGGCATTCGGGACCTCAGGGGGAGCTGTCGGTAAACAAACCTCGGAATGCTCCTCTTTAAAGGAGTCTGTCTCCCAGAAGAGAATGTGAAATTCACTGGAGGGAAAAGGAAGTCTCTTGTGAGTGGGGCTGTAAGGGTGTTTAAGGTCATCAAGTTCCAGCCAAAATCCTATAAAAAAAGACAGAACATAGAGAGAGGAATGAATCAAAACTTACATTTCAGATTAATTTCCTAAACGAGAGATGATCTTAATCATCAGTAGAGCTGTGGTGAAAAATACATTCAGAGATTTTCAAAACGCATTGCTAATCTCTCTTTAAATTGATTCTGAGCTATAGATTTTAGCAGACAGCGCTCTGGGCTAGTTTTTAACCACAGATTGCCCTCTAGGCTAGTTTTTAAAATTGATGGTGCTTTTGGCTGATTTTTAGCAGCAGATGGTGCTCTAGGCTAGTTTTTAACAGCAGACAGTATGCTCTAGGCTAGTTTTCAAACAGCAAATGCCGCTCTAGGCTAGTTTTTAACAGCAGGCAGTATGCTCTAGGCTAGTTTTCACCGGCAGGCAGTATGCTCTAGGCTAGTTTTTAAACAGCAAATAATGCTCTATGCTAAACTAGCTTTTAACAGCAGATCTGCAGACACTATACTAGACTTTAACAGCAGATGACATTCTATACTAGACTTTAAAAGCAGATGGCACTCTAAGCTAGTTTTTAACAGCAGAAAGTGCTCTAGGCTAGGATAGTTTTTAACAGCAGATGGCACTCTAGGCTAGTTTTTAACAGCAGATGGCCCTCTAGGCTAGGATAGTTTTTAACAGCAGATGGCACTCTAGGCTAGTTTTTAACAGCAGAAAGTGCTCTAGGCTAGGATAGTTTTTAACAGCAGATGGCCCTCTAGGCTAGTTTTTAACAGCAGATGGCCCTCTAGTCTAGTTTTTAACAGCAGAAAGTGCTCTAGGCTAGGATAGTTTTTAACAGCAGATGGCCCTCTAGGCTAGTTTTTAACAGCAGATGGCCCTCTAGGCTAGTTTTTTAACAGCAGATGGCCCTCTAGGCTAGTTTTTAACAGCAGATGGCCCTCTAGGCTAGTTTTTAACAGCAGATGGCCCTCTAGGCTAGTTTTTAACAGCAGATGGCCCTCTAGGCTAGTTTTTAACAGCAGATGGCCCTCTAGGCTAGTTTTTAACAGCAGAAAGTGCTCTAGGCTAGGATAGTTTTTAACAGCAGATGGCCCTCTAGGCTAGTTTTTAACAGCAGATGGCCCTCTAGGCTAGTTTTTAACAGCAGATGGCCCTCTAGGCTAGTTTTTAACAGCAGATGGCCCTCTAGGCTAGTTTTTAACAGCAGAAAGTGCTCTAGGCTAGGATAGTTTTTAACAGCAGATGGCCCTCTAGGCTAGTTTTTAACACCAGATGGCACTCTAGTCTAGTTTTTAACATCAGATGGCACTCTAGGCTAGTTTTTAACACCAAATGGCCCTCTAGGATAGTTTTTAACAGCAGATGGCCCTCTAGGCTAGTTTTTAACAGCAGATGGCCCTCTAGGCTAGTTTTTAACAGCAGATGGCACTCTAGGCTAGTTTTTAACAGCAGATGGCCCTCTAGGCTAGTTTTTAACAGCAGATAGCCCTCTAGGCTAGTTTTTAACAGCAGATGGCCCTCTAGGCTAGTTTTTTAACAGCAGATGGCCCTCTAGGCTAGTTTTTTAACAGCAGATGGCCCTCTAGGCTAGTTTTTAACAGCAGATGGCCCTCTAGGCTAGTTTTTAACAGCAGATGGCACTCTAGGCTAGTTTTTTTACAGCAGATGGCCCTCTAGGCTAGTTTTTTAACAGCAGATGGCCCTCTAGGCTAGTTTTTAACAGCAGATGGCACTCTAGGCTAGTTTTTAACAGCAGAAAGTGCTCTAGGCTAGGATAATTTTTAACAGCAGATGACACTATACTACACTTTAAAAGCAGACAATGCTCTAGACTAGTTTTTAACAGCAGATGGCACTCTATGCTAGTTTTAATCATACACTTGAATGCTTATGAGGAAGAGTGATTGTGTGTTTGGCTGATCTGTGCAAGTTTGCTTTTGTCATGAGATCTATGCAAATACAGCTCCCTATGAACATACTTGTAATTCGCTTAAACCTTTCCTAACTTTTATCAAGGTTTATTTTAGGTTCCATTTGGACCTGTTTTTTGATGCTTTACAGCAGGGGTCACCAATCTCGGTCCTGGAGGGCTTGTGTCCTTGCAGGGTTTAGCTCCAACTTGCCTCAACACACCTGCCTGGATGTTTCCAGTATACCTAGTAAGAGCTTGATTAGCTTGTTCAGGTGTGTTTGATTAGGGTTGGAGATAAAATCTGCAGGACACCTGCCCTCCAGGAACAAGTTTGGTGACCACTGCTTTACAGTATTGTGTAAATGAGCTGATACAATGTATTGATTTAAATATTATTATTCTGTCTAAAAGTCCATCTAGCAACCCAAAAATACAAGTATCTATAGGAACTCTATATTAGGCAGATACTCAATAGTAAATCGATTAGGGCTGACTGATGGGGACAGATGTAATCTCCACATTTAATTTCCAACAATTCTTTTGTTAGTTGATGATCAGTACATTAGCTGGTAATTAAGGGTGTTTAGACATTTATTATTATTTGTAATGTCCGAAATCAGCTGATTAACATATTTAAAAAAAATATTAACTACTTCTGATCAATATAGTAAAACATTTAAATCTAAATTAATCATAAATAAAACTCATAAATTAAAAAAAAATCATAAATTTAAACACTAAATCCGGCACCTTATTACATAAATGTAAGTGTAAATAGCTGAGTTAATGAAGTGACTCACCATTGCTCTGACGGACCCAAGTGACAAAGTGCTGAAGATGTTTGTTGTACTGGATAATAGTGCTAACGCTGTATTGAAAGCCCTGGAATGTAAACCCGTATTTAGTAAGGTCTTTCCTGGGCAGACCCTCCACAAAGTGCAACGCAAACACAGAGGACAGCCTGCAAAAATCCACAAAGACAATTATCAACCTCAAACACAAGCAGATTTTTACTAATTAAATCATGATGAAACAAATAAGAAAAAGACTTACTTTTCAAGCACCATTTTCCTCCTCTGGTTTTTGTGCTCGCATTTGTTGCACTGAGTGCGATTATTGGCTTTTAGCGGATGCCAGTCCTTAACAATACAAGTCAAAGTTGTCAGAGTCTTCTCAACACTACAAGAAAAAAAGGAAGGACAGGTTATGCGTGCATGCATTAGGGATGTCCATTTCCACAGATTCCTATGAGCAATCATCATTTAAATTAAGTATTAATTAATTATTAACCTTAATAAAAGCAAGATGCATCACTGTCCTCATGCAAAGGAAAATATTTTACTCGAGCAAGAGCTCCAAATTATATACAGACTCACCCTGCAAAAACTTTTCAGCGAGGTTTAATAATAATTAAACTCTTTGATGCTCATATTTGAGGTTTGTGAAGTGATGTTGACAATAAAAACCTACATAAATCCATTACTTTATTGCTAAAGGGAGTCTACAGTTCATTGCGACTTCATTATTTGAATATTAGGTAACACTTCAGTTTAGGTCACAATTCATGCTATTATCTACTGACTTATTACTAGCCTATTATTAAGATATTTACTGTTCATTAGTAGTTATAAAGTAATATCTTACTTCACATCACTAATCCTACCCTAAACCCTAACTTCTACCTTACTAGCTATTAATAAACAGCTAACTAGTAGTTTATTAAGCTAGAAGTGGAAGTTAATGGTTTGTTAATACCATGAATTGTGACCTAAACTTAAGTGTTACCGAATACTATATGAATGACAATTTTCCACCTAATACCTCCAAACAAGTTTTAATAAACTAATTTCACCTTCTAACTTCACAAAACTTTGAGGAATAAAGTTTTAGGTGCTCAGCTGCAGCACAGTTTATATAAGGATAATAGGACAGATGACTTGCAGAAAGTTATAAAAAATGTGCCCAAAACGCTGTAAAGGCTCTATTTATCATATACAGAGTTTATGATCATGACATTTAAAAACAAAAACATAAAATGATTTTATTATCTAGAATATTGACAGCGGCTTCCTCATACATGCACATTGAAGGACTACACAAATTACAAAAATTACAAGAGTCACCCCATTGTGGTTGGAAAATATGTAAATCACATCCGTGTTTACTGTTAATAGAAGGCTGATAAGGCTACAGAATATATTGATACGTTTATTAAAGGCTCAACTGAAAACTCATTTGTTTACATTAGCATGTCTTACATTATTACTGTTTTATAATATGCTTGTGTTATTTTATTGCTGTAATTTTGTAACTTCTGCTTCCTTTACGGTTTATTTACTATTGCTTATTTATTGCTTCCAGGGCTCGAAATTGCGACCGTTTTGTTTGACAGTTTCGCAACTTCACAATATATTTGGGAGTGTTTGTGTTAGCAGTTTTCATTGCAAAATGTTTACTGCATGTGCACGCAGCACCCTCGCGGCCGTTAGGGGCCGTTTACACTGAAAGCGCTTTTTGCGTTGAGAGACGCCTTTTTTGAATGGTTTACTAACAGCTGTGAGTGATTTGCGCGCTGCTTATGCACCCCTCGTGTTTTAACCGCCTGCTGCGGCTTGCGTTTTTGCCCTTGTGCACCGGGTTTCTGTTGAGGTGCCTGTTTGTGTTGTCAAGACTTGTGGAGAGACTTGTGGTAGCTGTTTTGAGTTATCCAGAGCTGTATGACTTCACAAATCATGAATATCACAATATTATCCATTATTAAAATTATATTATATTAATATCAACAGCAACACTTTCGAACAATACCCAGCTGATCCAGTCGTTGCCTAGCGAAAAATCGCAATGCACGTTTTTTTTTTCTTGTCAACAAAAAGGCAGTCTGGTGCGCTTTGCGTTTTTGAAACGTAAAGGCGCGCTTGGTGTGATCAGCCTCTTAATAAATCATTCAAAAAAGGCACCTCTCAACGCATAAAGCACATTCAGTGTGATCGCCCCGTTATGAGACATTTACGATCAATGCATATGCTCCTAAAAATGCCAAATGCAGCGCTCAGGAATGGTTTAAAACAGTTGACATGTAGACTTGCTGCAGTAAACAAAGCCAGCCCCGCCTTCAAGCTCTTCTGATTGGCCCACTGCTCTTGAACTAAACGCAAATGGATTGGTTAATATCAGCTGTCCATCACTCAGTTAGTCGGAAAAATGTAAAGGTCTGGATATGAGAGAATGAAAGTAACACGAACAGATTTTGTTTTAGAGACCACCTAAAGTTACAAATAATGGCACATCTAATTAGTGATCATGTGGTGAATGTCAATCCTCCATTTACACTTTTCGATAAGTGGATAAAAGAATTCCAGTCAACTGAAAAGAAAAAAAATGACTGAAGCCATTCACTGTAAAGCCTAAGAGATGGAGTTTGCAGATAAAAGCGTTTGCCACACATTTTAAGCAAGACATGTTGTATTTAATTCTTCATTTAATCGTCACAATGTTGTCAGTCGTGCAACTGCAACTTGCATTTACTAAGAATAAACTAATATTGCAGCTCAAGAAAAGACTGCTACTGCTATTAAGATGACATACGCAGATAATAAGTTATATGTCAACATCATCTGTGCAATATTAGACATCACAGTTATTATCAGTAACTCAGTTCATTTCATTCACAATAAGCAGGGCATGTAGGCCGGTGAGCGCATGCAGATTTATTTTTGTTTGTTAGTTTTGATTTCAAATGCAATAAATATGTTAATATAACACTTGTAGTGAAGGTGCTCATCATTTTTGGTGGGAGCAACTCAATTTAAGTTAGGAGCACCAGTGATGCCAAGCTAAAAGGTTCATTTCGAGCCCTGGCTTCTTATGCTGACCTTGAGTGCTTTAAAAGGCACCTTAAAATGTATTATTATTAATTAAAGAATAGCACCACCAATAGCAAGTGTGTGTCTATGAGAGCATATAGCTTGTGTTACAAAATTTTAATTTAATCTCAAATGTGCATGTTATTAGTATCTTAAGGAAATTCAGGAGAATGTGAAAAGGCTGATGTTTACTCATGAATGTTCATGTGTTAAAGGATAATGCCACTTCACTGTTAGCCCACATCATCTGTCTTATATATAATATATATATATTAGCGCTGTCAAAATTAACGCCTTAACGCATGCAATTAATTTTAAATAATTAACGCGTTAAAAGAATTAACGCAATTAACGCAGTTGCAGGTTTTTTTTACTTCCTGTTGTGGTGGACGTGTGTTCAACATGCAATAAATGTGGATAAGACCAAGGAAGCACTTTTTGAAGGCAAGTTCCAGTATAAAACAATTAGTTGCATCACTGGTTATCCAGAGTTTCATGCAATTTCAGGTGTTTCATTTTTAACTTTCGACATCTGTTGTAAGTTGATACTGCATGGCGAACAGAAAGAAAATCCTCCGCATTTCGTTCTTAGTTTAAGCAAATTTGATGAACGTGATCATGCGTGTTCAATCTGAGGGGAGTCGCTCCAGTATGGAAGGCCGTTGGGGCCAAAACGTCTGCAGCGCGTTGTGTGTGTGTGTGTGTGTGTCTGTGTGTGTCTCTGTGTCAGGCACGTTGAGGGGTGTCAGGGGTGGAGTGAGTGATGTATCTGAGTAGGGGCGAGAGGGGTGTGCAATGTATTTAGCGACCGGTTTGCAAGAAATTATCATTCATTTGCGGGCATTTGGCAGTCTCTGTGCACTTGCGGGATACTCCTAGTCTTAGCAACTGGATGAATGTAAAGGAGGATTAAGCAAAATTGTTTCTACTCTATAATTAATGTTCTCAACTCACAGCAATAAAACTTTACAATGAGTGCAACAGTTTGTATTCTATGGTTTATTATTATAATTTTTCATTTTCCATGTCTGCAATTCCTGTATTTTGGCATTTTTTGCAGTCCACTTAGAATCCAACATGGAAATCAATGTTTTCTTTATTGGCATTGACTGTTTTGAAATTTAAATGTCATTAACAAGCCTGTGTTTTAATTTCTGTAATAAATATGGCTGTCAAGCCAGGATCTTAATGATTTATTGTGGGTATGTTGTTTCCATGAAGAAATCTGTTACAAGTTAAACAAAAATTCTATTAAACAATTATATTTGGAATTTAAATATTTTTGTCTTGCGTTTACATTAATTTTACATTTAAATAGCCAAAATCACAAGTTTCAGTATTTTAAATGCGATAAATTTTTTAAAAAGGTGCAATTAGTTAATTTTTTTAATCGATTGACAGCACTAATATATATATATATATATATATATATATATATATATATATATATATATATATATATATATATATATATATATATATATACACATTTATAAATGTAATGTTCATGAGTTAAATGTACCAGTTCAGAGGAATCTGCTAATCCATTTCAGAAAACTAAAGGTCTGATATTGCTGTCCACAATGAATGCTGTGCAACTTTATTCTCCCTCATATCTGCTGTATGTTTTGGGTGTCAAAACTATCCACATCAATGCTTAATTGACCAACAATTTAAATGATTATTGAGAATTAATCAGTCGATAGTTAAACGTTGGCATCCCTAGTTTGCTTACATTAAACAAAAGAAGTATCTACTAAAAAGGGATCCTCTCAGCTTACCTCTCATTTACAGTAAAGTCACAACAAGTGCACTTGAACTCCCATCGGATAGTGTGCTGGAAAATATCCTGAGCCCACTTGTCTGAGCGCAGAAGAAGCGGGAGTGCGAACACTGGTGTCTCCTGCTGACCTGCATGGCAGACAGATGGATTATCAGTCAATGACAAGCGGCACGTTGATATCAAATCATTTTATGAGTAGCTGTTGAAGCCTTTTACCAATTTCACACTTGAGTGTAGGCTGAAGAAGCTTGAAGACTGAGAGCCGGAGAGCAGACAGACGCCGCTCAGCCTCAACCAGGACTCCAGCAGGGACTCGCAAGACTTTATCTGCAGAGAGGAAAACAGGTAAGTGCTCTACAATTCAACATATTCATAATGTAAACCAATTATTGGGTAGATGTGTTTGTTTTTTGTTTTGTTTAAATTTTTTTAGGTCACAATATGATTTTTTTAATAGATTTTTTATTACATATATTTGCTTATATTTGTAAAAAAAAAATAAGCTATTTTTAGTTGTCACTCTTTCTATGTCCTGTATCACCATGCTAATGACGTCGATTGTGTTAGGTCATTATGTTAATATGTTGTGTTTTATTAGACTGCACAGAGCAGCATTATAAGACAAGCCAAAAGGCTGGGACACACCAAGCGGTCACCAACTAGCGCTGAAAAAACCCAACTGTATTGTTGCCTTGCTCGCATCTGGTTCTATCTGGACCAAAAACGAGCCAGTGCACACACCTAAGAGACAAAAACCAATTGAAAAAAGTTATTTGCCTACGTGGGAGAATGTGTCTTGCACCTGCAGAGGGCAGTGTATGTACTCTAATTCACTACATGAAACCGCAACTTCTGACGCAAGCGTAAACAAAGCATATAATATCATTATGACAGAAATGGTCAATCACCGAGGAGGGATTCGCTTAAGCAATTATGTCTAAATCTAATAATTCAAATTGTTTGCAAATATTTGAAAAAAGTAGTGAATGTAGTAATTACTGCTGGCCTCTTTGTGTTCCTCCTTGACTTGAATTGCTCACTTGCTACATCATTTCACTATGTCACACATTTTTGAAGAAACGCCTCATGCTCGTTTTTTTTTTGTTTTTTTTTACGCACTGTCAAAACCTTCTCCACCAATCAGATTGGCACTTTTGTTCACGTGCACAGAGCTGCTGAAGTGACAGTAAACAGCACTTGGAGGCGCTCAAGTGCAAAACTGCCAATGCGAGCGCACATTGAAGAAGATGCCCAGAGGCGATATGAACGTGGAGTTGCTTATTGCACTAGTGAACAATAATTATGACTTCATCGCTAGAGCTGGAGCCTCTGCTTGAACCATCCATGCGTGTTCAAATCGTCAGTACCTTTAAAAACAAGCGTGTCAGCTTTGTCGTCTTCTTCTGTATTACAAGCGGGTGTCAGAGGCTTAAAGTTATGTAGCGCCATCTAACCCCAAGGAGTGATTTTGCACACTCTTGTGCTCGACGCCTGTGAAAATCGGTTAGGTTTGAATCTGGAAAAAAGTCTTGTAAAACACAGACAAAAAAGGCAAACGAAAAGCGTGCCGGAGCGTACGAGCCTTAAGACTTTGATTAGCTTGATTATTTTAGTAGGGCTGGAGCTGCAGGACACCGGCCCTCCAGGAGCATGTTTGGTGACCCCTGACTTAAACTATGATATTGTGCTTATGTAAACATGTTATAATTAAATAGTTGTGCTAATATCAGGGCTGCACGATTCTGGGTAAAGTGAGAATCACATTTTTTTTTTTTTTGCTTAAAATAAAGATCACAATATTCTCTTGGATCTGTAGATGTAAAGCTTAATATGAGATTATTGTTTTTTCTCAGACATATGGTAAAACAACAATATTAATATTATGTGTAGGTCAACTGGTTTCTATAAATAATTCATTTCTATTTACAATAATTCTGATGTTGAACTATGTTTGAGATATAGGCCAAATTGCAATGTGTTATTAGACCATTTAATTCACTGGTAAAATCAACATTATATAAGCCAGAGTAGTTATACCGACCCAGTAAACATTTATTTTCAGGCACAACTGTGTGTTTGCTATAAAAGAAAAAAATCAAATGCTTGTCGCAATCATATCTCTAAAAATCAATATAATTTTTTTAAATGATGTGCTCGCTTTCGGTTTAATTTTCACTGCTAAGTGCTGTTCATACTTTGCGCGCGACTCTCAAACGATCACTTTGTGCCACAAACTGAATATTTATTGAATATATTATTTACAACTTTATTACCTGTTACTCACAGCATATGCAGGTTCTGTTCACTAAAGTAGATGCGCGCGCACGCACAGTCAGCAACTAACGTCACGTGTGATTTCCCGGGCATGAATACAGCATTATATGAAGACAAAAACGACATTTTTAGGTGAATTATACCTTATAAACACAGATTGCGACTCTTTCAACATCATTTGGAGGTGTCCATGTCGCTGAGCAACGTGTGTGAAACAATGAAAAGACTCGTGCAGCCGCCTTTGCTTCTCTCTTGAACTTGAAAATATGATTGACAGAATCGTAGAAATGCTGGATTAAGATGGTCTTGGGCAGTGGTGCTCAACCCTGCTCCTGGAGATCGACCTTGCTGCAAAGTTCAGCTCCAACCCTGATCAAACACACCTGAACCAATTAATTAAGTCCTGAACAGCACTTGATAATTACAGGCAGGTGTATTTGATATGGGTTGCAACTGAAATCTGCAGGGAGGTCGATCGCCAGGAACAGGGTTGGTCACACCTGGTCTAGGGGGTCGAATCGAGATCGCGATCTTTTTTCGATTATTTGTGCAGCTCTGGCTTATATAAGGAAGAACCAAACAATAATAAGGTGATTAGACTGCAGTAAATAAACGCTTAACTTTTGTGCATCATAACACTCATATATTCTGTGATAAGCCATAGTTTGCCTTTTTTACTAAATAACTTTGTGTATATAAAATAAGACATTCCACATCCTTTAATGGTTCAAAATCAGGGGGTCAAAAATCAAACACTGTACAAATGCCAATATATGTCTTTTTCTTACCTTCGCTCTGTTTCTTCCTGGCTTGGAGATAGGCACACGTTTTATCATATCTCCAGCAAAGTTTCCAGACGACAGAATCATTGCAAGGCACTGTTGCCAACTTATCGCTCAGCTTTATGCCCCGACATGGAGTCCCTCTGATGGTCCTGCAGTGCACCAGCATCACCAACATCGCATCCAACCAGCACATGTTCTCCTCGTTTTTCCAGAAGAGTTCAGAATGAACCGGGACCAGCTCTGAAGAACTCTCCAAGACCTCCTCCTCCATCTCATCTTGAGTACTGGATACACAATCCTCCTTCCTTTCACACAAGTCTACATCCTCATCAGAGACAGCAGGTAATTCCTCGGGTTGTTGCTCCTCTGTGGGATCAATTGAGATGGGTTGTTCCTCTGTTTGATCAATAGACAAATGTTGATCCTCAGTGTGAACAAGAGACACAGGTTTCTCCTCAGTGTGAGCAATAGACATAGGCTTCTCCTCAATGTGATCAAAAGATGTAGGTTTCTCCTCAGTGTGAGCAATAGACATAGGTTTAACTTCAAAGAGGTCAAGAACTATGGATTGCTCCTCAGTGTGAACAATAGAAACAGGTCGTTCCTTGGTGTTATCAATACAGATAGGTTGTTCCTCAGAATGATCAACAGACATAGGTTTTACTTCTATGAGATCAAGAACTATAGGTTGCTCCTCAGTGTGAAGAATAGAAACGGGTTGCTCCTCAGTTTGATCAATAGATATAGGTTGCCCCTCAGTGGCATCATGAGAGATAGGTTGTTCCTTAATGTCTTCTATAGAAACAGGTTGTTCTTCAGTTTTATCAAGAGAAATAGTCTCTGCAGGTGCTGACTGTTGATCTGTAAACGTTTGAGTTTTGACAGTGTCGTCTGGAAGGGTGGCATCATTGACTTCAGCATCACATGGCTCAGAAACATCTGCCAGAACATCCAGTTTCTCTTCTCTGGGTCGTTTTGGAGGACAGGAGTCATCACTGATGTCGGGAAGGGAAGAAATGCTCCTTTTGCATCCACCTTTGGATAAACTAGCACGCACTTCTTCCAGAGATCTACTAACCAACGGGTAAAGGCACTGCAAGATAAGAGATAACAGCACGGGTGTAAATGACCATCTCACTTGGATAATTTTTTAAGAAAGATTCACAAGCACCTAATGTGATCAGAAATATGAATAGCGTATTTTACAAAACTCATCAAGAATTTATTCAGCTTGCTGGTATTTCAGCCCATTATCAGAAAAAAAAATTTTCAATAAGAAAATAAAGCCCAATATTAGAATAATTAATCATGTTGGGAAATATAAAATTCAAAACAATATGTCCAGGTCTGTGTCCTCCCCAGTAAATACATGGAGCACTTTTAAACTAATGTTATTTTAAGGAAAATAATTAAACCATTATTATGAGTTCAATTTTACCCTTTGTACCCCTAAAAAATGTCATTATAAAAATAGATATACCTTTTTGAATGAAAATTTGAAAGTTTTATTGAGATGATTGTACAGGTTTTGGCCAGATTGAGTAGCAATACATAAACAAAGGAAAATTGAGACCCATTTAAAAATGATTTAAGACCTACAACACAATATTTTAGAACATTTAAGACTTTTTAAGGCCTACAATTTTAATTTTGGGAATTAAGACATTTTAAGATTTTTTAAGACTCAGCGGAAACCCTGCACTCAGTTCTTTTTAATAAAATTAAATGTAAGCTTGTCAAGCGTTATACAAATTATTATTATTAAAGCAAAACAGGAGTCATAACAGAATATAGCAGTCAAATTAATGGTGGCCAAAAAAAAGTTGCATCCATATTAATTATTATCTAAAACTAAGCTTCATTTTGTTTATGCATAAACTTGTTTCCTTTTGATTTGATGCTATTGCATACCTTTATTTAGTTATATTTCAGCATCTCAGACTATTTTCATAGCAAACTAATAAATACAAACATTAAAAGCAGGACAATCCTATTAAATATATTCTACAGACCTTGCAAAACAAGTCTTCATCTTGAAGTTAAAGAGGGAGAAATGATCCATAGACATATTATTGACGGATGTTGTGAGATTCGTTCAGTTTTTAGTGTCAGTGATGAGCAAAAATAAAGCAATGTAGTACTGTAAATAATAAAAGCCTCACCACTGCATTTGTACAGAGCAGAACAGTCTCCTTTAGGTTGACGGCATAAAAGCGGAGGGCGTTTGTCTGACCTTTCGCCAAGCACCAAGGACAGTTCCCGGGTGAAGCATTTCTGTCTTTACTCTGCAAACATAAAACAAAAAGATGAGAATCACAGTAAACTCTAAAACTAAACACTCCACACATGACATACAACACAATCTCACACAATTACAGTGTATAGCAGCACATCACTGAAATGCTTTCTGTTTGTCTTTCGCCTTTTACATGACAGATTTCCGTGTTTTTTGTCTGGTTTGGAGTGGTGGATCAAATCAGTACCATTTTCATACAATTTAGACACAAATTTGAAGGTGACAGCAGAGCTTTGCACAAGTGACAGAGGGAGAGAACTGAGCATAACTGACTTTTCCCAAAAACCCCGCCAACGCTGGGGTCGGAGCCCCTATACCAGTGCCTTCGCCGTTCATTTTCCTGCCACTGAGGTTTCTGCTCTCTGACGAGTCCTGCTGCCATAAACTTGATATAACCGTGCCACCTGGCTCACCACCTGAACGCACTGCAGTGAGAAAGAATATCACATTAACTGACCCTAATACACACACACACAACAAACATCTCAAGCTAGACTCCTGAGCAAAATACCTGCACCTGCCAGTCAGTAAGAGAACAGCATTTAAATTGGCATGACCTGTTGTGAGATTATATCATGATTGCATATGCTTTTGTTTAATGAATTCAACTTCTTTTAGATTAATCATCATGTTTATTAGCTAAATCTGTGTTGAAATACTACATTTCCCACAATGCTGTACAGTATTTCCACCAATCACAGAGTTGCAGTGAGCGAAGTAGAAAAAGTTCTTTAAACTAATAGTTTTATATTTGTTTGTCAATAAAGTAGCTGCTTTTTGCACAGTGCTTCTTAGGACTATACATGGACCTGTATAAGATTCTGACGGTATGATAACCTTGGATGAAAATATCATGATTTCATGGTTTTGTGATTACTGCTCTAATATATTCTTTTTAAATGTCTGGATAAAAAACAACTTTTTTTCCCCTTTGAACAAAATTTATTTTATTTTGAGAAACATTTTTAAAATTTTGGAGCAGTAAACATGTCAGGCTTTATAGCTCAAATCAATCAGTGACTTCTGCTGTCTTCCTTAGTTTACAAAACACAGATTTCTTTACAAATTGAAACTGCATCTTCGGAGATCTTTTCTGAAGGAGATACTGTTGTCCTAAAAAAATTTTAAATAAAAAAGTAATTTAAAAAATCTTACACATACCATAGGAACGGTATAGCAGAAAATTTTGGTGGTTTTAAAACCTTGAATTTACCAAATCTCGGTATACCTTAAAAACGGTTATCAATTGGTGACATGCTCCTTATATAGTATACCATGGCACTTTGAATATTTTTTATCAGGGTACTAATTTATGTATTGTGGCGATCAGCGAGTCGACCAATCACAATTCACATATGCAAATATATATGAAGACAATAACCAATCCAAGTCGTTGTGCATGCTTAATTGCGTTCATTAAACGTTCCGTCAACTTACGCATTTCAAAATCTAATATTTCTTTATAAAAATTATAAAATAATAAAGAAACGAAACAACAATGATCCGACATAATCTGTAAATAATACGTTTGAATTGAGTATAATTTCATAAGGTTGAATTGTTTAATTCATTCGTATGGTCAATTTTTTTAATCTAGAAATTAAGCCTTGTGCAACATAAAGGGCACATATTATTGCTTAACGTTACCTGACCTATTTTTTGCTCAAACTATATCAGGAGTAAATAATTTAATTGGCTTGACATCGAATGTCTAATGCATGTCAAACGTCAAACTAACTTTACCGCGGTCTGGTACCATGTAATTATATTTATGGTGTTGTGTTTAAAAACGTACAATATTAAGGTAACTAGATCTGTGAAGGTATCACGAACATTGCAAATACAAACATTAAGTTAGACTGATGGTCAAATTAGCAGTTGTTAATCCAATCACTGTTTTCTTACTGACTTTATTGCTAAACGTTGCTGCAGTATCAAATATACAAAACTCACATAATTACTGCTAACAAATCCCGATTATTCAAATAACACCTATAAAGCAGGTGGAAATGTCTGTTTTTGTTGAATAATAGAGATCATGCGCGAATAGCATAGCAACAGTGAGCGCGCTAGACGATAACAGATCGCCCAAACCTTACACACTGCATTTACAATGGTGCACATTATATACACCAGCACATACCTCGAGTCCGGTGCAGATGCGGAGAATCTCCAGACTGGATTTTATACACACTTTCGGTAATTCCAGCACGCCGGTAGGAGACATTTCCATGTGCATGCTCCCCGTCGTACGATCAACGCACAACTTCCGGTTTTGCTCGAGTGTGTAATAAAGTTTTTACAAAGACTCTTTTTTTACGGCACGTGAGCGCCATCATCCGGATAATCTGCAGAACGAATGAACAGACTGTCCGAACATTAAATTAGGCAGCAGAAGGGATTCAATCAACAACAACAACATCCAAACAACACAAGCTTACTAAACTGTAGTTATCCGTAGAAACACACAAGCAGACACGTTTTAAATGAGATAGACATTTTTCTGAATGGCTAATGGTATTAAATATAATCTAAATAACATGATAGCTGTGCAATTAATGTGTTTATTTAATGTATTGCTACAGTTTCACTCTTAAACATGTATTTACATTTACATGAGGGCTGGTAGACACGGAAAAAGCAAATACATGATACTGTAGTGAGAAAAACACAAAGACTGGAAAATGTATTCATTAATTATAAGCTAAAGCTTTACTAATTTCAGTTGTTTTTATATCTGAAATAGCAAAACAAAAACATTATATGAACATCTGACCATGTGAAATGTTTAATTTAACCCTTTAACTGCCTGCTCTGCCAAATGGTTGACCTTATTTTGACTGTTTTATGATGACTAAAGTAATTTAAAGTGTGACAGTTTTAGATAACGGCTTGCACACACAGCACTGTTGGTTTACCAAAAAATCTAAGAAACATAATCCTGTTGCACTGCTACACATGATTTTGGTTTTATTGTTAAAAAAAGAAGAAGAAGAAGAAACATGTAAATGAGAATATGAAATATTTTATGGCATACTAATAAAATTTACTAATAAAAATAAAGATGATTTAGTATTTAAAAATGATTTGAGTATGTTTGTAAATAAATTGGTCTTGCACTATATATTTTTAGATTTTTCTTAGTATATGTATTAATTGTGATACTTTTACCCTAAACTGACATATCAATCATAGAGCCTGATATTTTAGAAATTATGGGATGTGTTGAAAAAAAAACGCATTGAGTGTGTTAACTAGCAACATTAGGAGCTAACAAATGCAATCCAATTTCTTTTTCTAAGTGGGCAAGTAAAGGGTTAAAGATTAAATAAAGCGGTAAAAACCTTTGCAAGTTAATATAATATTCAATAATATTCAAAGCATAAACTGATGTTCATCATAAATGGTGCTTATTCACTTTCCATGAAAAAATTAATGATACTATTTACACTATTACTACTTTCTGAGATTTTAGGAGGGGTGTTTGTGTTGTGCATCAATAAGGACAATCTTAGTGAAAGTAAAATACTTTTTAAAATAAATATATACTTTAATGAAACTATTGCTAGATTTTATCATAAATAAATAAATAAGGTGACACGGTGGCTCAGTGACACGGTGGCTGGTTCGAGCCTCTGCTGGGTGAGTTGGCATATCTGTGTGGAGTTTGCATGTTCTCCCCGTGTTCGCATGGGTTTCCTCGGGGTGCTCTGGTTTCTCCCACAGTCGAAAGACATGCGCTATAGGTGAATTGAATAAACTAAATTGGCTGCAGTGTATGTGTGTGAATGAGTGTGTACGGGTGTGTACGGGTGTTTCCCAGTACTGGGTTGCAGCTGGAAGGGCAATTGCTGCGTAAACAATATGTTGGATAAATTGGTGGTTCATTCCGCTGTGGAGACCTTCAATGAATAAAGGGACTAGGCGGAAGAAAAATTAATAAATGAATTATTTAATTAACGAATGACTGAATGAATGAATGAATGAATTAAATAATTAATTACTAAATGGATGAATGAATGAATTATAAATTGAATAAATTAATGAATAAATAAATGAATGAATGAATTAATTAGATAATGAATGAATGAATGAATAACTAAATTAAATAAATAAATTAATTAATTAATTAATGGATAAAATAATGAATGAATAAAATAATAAATGAATGAATGAATGATTGAATGAATTAATGGATAATTGAATTATTGAATAAATCAATGAATGGATGGATAAATTAATTAATAAATGAATGAATGAAAGAATAAATAATTGAATGAATGAATGAATCAATCAATAAATGAATGAATGAAATAATGAATTATTGAATGAATTAATGAATGAATGAAAGTATTGAATGAATTAAATAATGAATGAATGAATGATTGATTGAAATAATGAATAATTGAATGAATGAATTAATTAATTAATTAATTAATGAATTAATAAAATAATGAATTAATAAAATAATGAATGAATAAATGAATAAAAGAATGAATCAATGAATCAATAATTGAATGAATGAATAAATTAATTAATTAATGAATGAATGAATGAAGGAATGAATGAATGAATACCCCACCAGGAGTCAATAACAGATTTCTTATCTATTGCCTTTAGTTTCTGGCCCCACACTCTTCATAAACTTCTATAATCAAAGTTAAATTAAATAATTATTCATCATTAAACTTTATTTTAGTGTGATTTTCAACAAGTGCATACCCACACATCAATTTATTCATTCATTCATTAATGTTTCTTTGGCTCAGTCCCTGTATTAATCTGGGGTCGCCACAGCGAAATGAACTGCCAATTTATCCAGCATATGTTTTACGCAGCGGATGCCCTTCCAGCTGCAACCTAGTACTGGGAAACACCTATACACACTCATATACCGCCAATTTAGTTTATCCAACTCACCTATAGCGCATGTCTTTGGACTGTGGGGTAAACCGGAGCACCCAGAGGAAACCCACGCCAACACAGGGAAAACTTGCAAACTCCACAGATATGCCAACTGCCCCAGCCGGGACTCGAACCAGCGACCTTCCTGATGTGAGGCGACAGTGCTACCCACTGAGCCACCATGCATCAATTTATTAAAAAAATAAAATGAATAGATGAAAAATATAAATGATCACTATATGAATCAAAAAGCAACATAATAAAGCAGTAATCGATAACACCTTTGTGAGTACACAAGAGTGTCAGTAACGGCGCGTGTGTGTGTGTGTTCAGTGCGCGTGTGTGCGCGCGCGTCAGTGAGCGTGCGCCTGTATTGAGGAGCGCATGGGGCTACAGCTGCTCTTTATAAACAATAGAAGACTACACGGGCATCAATTCCCCATCAGCCTCCCTTGGCGGTTTATCTGCTGCCCCCAGTCCCACACAATATGAATTTGCATAATTTCTTCCAAGATTTAGTCATTAACATGCATAGGCTTCGGTTCTTGCGTGTGTTTATGGTATGAAATTAGTCTGGCTTCTAAATTATGGCCTAGATAGAAATGCATATGTTAAGCCATTGCTCTCTCTCTCTTTCAGATGTTGTGGTGTTTGTTTAGATAGATAGATAGATAGATAGATAGATAGATAGATAGATAGATAGATAGATAGATAGATAGATAGATAGATAGATAGATAGATGGATGGATGGATGGATGGATGGATGGATGGATGGATGGATGGATGGATGGATGGATGGATGAATGGATAGACAGACAGGCAGAGATAGATAGATAGATAGATAGATAGATAGATAGATAGATAGATAGATAGATAGATAGATAGATAGATAGATAGATAGATAGATAGATAGATAGATAGATAGATAGATAGATAGATAGATAGATAGATAGATAGATAGATAGATAGATAGATAGATAGATAGATGGATGGATGGATGGATGGATGGATGAATGGATAGACAGACAGGCAGAGATAGATAGATAGATAGATAGATAGATAGATAGATAGATAGATAGATAGATAGATACCTGTAGATAGATACCTGTAGATAGATACCTATAGATAGATAGATAGATAGATAGATAGATAGATAGATAGATAGATAGATAGATAGATAGATAGATAGATAGATAGATACCTATAGATAGATAGATAGATAGATAGATAGATAGATAGATAGATAGATAGATAGATAGATACCTGTAGATAGATACCTGTAGATAGATACCTATAGATAGATAGATAGATAGATAGATAGATAGATAGATAGATAGATAGATAGATAGATAGATAGATAGATACCTATAGATAGATAGATAGATAGATAGATAGATAGATAGATAGATAGATAGATAGATAGATAGATAGATAGATACCTGTAGATAGATACCTATAGATAGATAGATAGATAGATAGATAGATAGATAGATACCTGTAGATAGATACCTATAGATAGATAGATAGATAGATAGATAGATAGATAGATAGATAGATAGATAGATAGATAATATGTATCATGCTGATGAAGGTTACAGTACTGCATGTTTGTTTTGTCGGGAGTGTTGGATTAAAGGCAGATGTTCCAGATGGCGTCAAACGCATCTATTTTTATCCCGCCATAGCTCGCTTTTCATAATCAGTAAATGCATTTTAGGAAAATGATCTTCACTGGTATAGATTTGATAACATGTAGACTTGAAGATTTGCTGGTACAGTCTCTAATCAGCGACTCCTCCGCAGCATCTGGACTCAGGCTGATGCAGATGCTTTAATGGATTTTATCTATTTAAAAAATACAGAGCAGGCTGAGTACTTACATCTGTTGCATTTACATTATATAACCCAACATGAGATTGAGCTTAATGGCAGCACATCCACACGGAAACATTTGATCATGTTTGCTGTTGCACCTCTAATAAGACGGACGTTCATCATCAAACACTGTTTTTATTTCTCTGCCGCTGCTATCATTTGGTCCCCTTACTGAGCCTGCTTTTTCGTTCATTCATTCATTCATTTTCATTTTGCTTAGTCCCTTATTTATCAGGGGTCAACACAGCGGAATGAACCGCCAACTTATTCAACGTATGTTTTACACAGATGATGCTATTCCAGCCGCAATCCAGTACTGGGAAACACCCATACACATTAAAGGGGTGGTCCAGAAAGTAGTTTAAGACTTGGTTGTGTTAATAAGATGCAAAGCAATGTGTGCTCATGTTTCACTTGAAGGAAACCATGTTGTTTTTTCATAAATCTCAGTATTTGTGTGCCTGTGTGTGTGTGTGTGTGTGT